CAACTCACTGTTCACATACACCGGATCACCCTGGATATCCCACACGCGTCACTCTGAACACTCACACATACACACACACACTTCACTCTAAACTGCAGCTATGGCAGCTATGGCTGCCTCTACCCTATCGATATGCTATGCTCCTTCTCTCTCGCCCACTTCAGCTCTGGGCTCACTGCAGACCTCCTTGCACAAGTCGCTGTGGCAGCGTTTCCGCATGGCTCACGCAGGAATGAATCCAAGGCTGGGCGTTGCCTCTTGATTTATACTTCTGAAACTCGTTGGTCTGCCCTCTTCCATCGGCCCATGATGCTCACAGTCCCTTGTGCTACTTGCTGGACCGGACTGGGACTGACTGGACCTGACCGCTGACTGAACGGGGACTCACTGCTATCCCACCGGGATCGTACTGCAATCGCACTGCGGTTTAGTCCACCACTTGACTCACCACTTGACCACTTGCCCACTTGCCGACCTTCTAGAAGGACTACAGCTAAGACTTCTGGAACTCGCTAAGACTTCTATTCTACCGATCTACAGATCAAACGCCTACCACCTACGGACCTATGACAGCCTACCAACTGTTTATGAATACACAGGTCACAGGTTCAACTCTCGGGGTCTACACAGGTACTGTACACAGATAGGGCAAGGTCTAGGGATCGAACCCTGGGATCTGCGTCTGCTACTGCAAAGAGGTGAAAACCGTTTCACTCCCGCCGTCCTGAATTCGAGGTCCTCCGAGAATATTTCAGTCCAAGGCAGGACCTTTACCTTTCTTATCACGCTCATAGGCCCTGACTATGTCGGGAGCTGTTTCTAGAAGTTCTGTTCTTGTAAACCAGCGGTCGTCTTCCGGTTCCTGATAAGCAAACCAGACCTTATATTGTTTCTGCGGACGACCCCTACCTCCTGTTCTAAAGACATCTTCGTCTACAATGCCGTCAATGTCATAACTTCCATCCATATCCGGAGGGATCCTGGATCTTCTTGAAGGGAACTGTTGACTTGTGACACACGGCAACAGCTTTGAAGCATGGAAAACAGGGTATGTGTGGAGGTGTGCTGGAATCTCTATAGTGTAGGACGGTCCATCCTCTCTGCCCTTGAGTTCTAGAACCGGCCACGGTCCTCTATAGGCAGGCAGCAACTTCTGCGAGATGTGCTCCTCATGTGCAAATTCTTTAGACTTGACCCAGACTAAGTCGCCTACTTGGAACTGAGACGGGCGACGATGCTTGTTTGCCTGTTCTATCATTCTGTGCTGGGGTTTCCTGAGGTTTTCAACGACTGTTGTTAGTTCTTTCTCGTGCTGTACTGCGAACTCCCTGGTACCGGGCGGTAGTCTGTGAATCTGATCCCGGTTCAGTCCTTCGAACGGCCTGCGTGGTCTAAAGGACTTGTGCAGCTCATTGGGAGTGCGACAGGTGGATAGATGTACGCTGTTGTTGTATGCACTGGCTACCTTAGGCAACATCTCATCCCAGTTGATCTGATCAGGTCTAATGTACATGCGCAGAACTTGCTGTAGGATCTTGTTCATCTGTTCTGTTTGACCGTTGGTCTCTGGATGGTGGCCCGACGACATTAACAACTTGGATCCGTAAACTCGCATGAGTTCTTTCCAGTTCTGGCTGGTGAAACGACTATCTCTATCGCTAACGATTGACAATGGGATTCCATTCTCACTAACCCAATGATCAAAAAACTTCTGAACAACTAATTTTGTGCGTGCCTTTGCGGGCAAAGGAACAAAAACAGCATACTTGCTAAAACGGTCAACTATGACCATGACTTGGCTCTTGCCATGCCTACTCTTGACCTGAGTATCCATGAAGTCTATGGACACGGAATCACCAGGCTGATCAGGAATAGGCAAAGGTCTGAGAAGACCTAGAGAGGCGCGCGTAGTAGTCTTATTTCTCTGGCACACTTTACAACTGCAGACATACTCTATGCAGTCATTCTTCATCCCTGGCCAGGTGTACGCACACATCAAACTGGCTAATGTCTTTTGCCAACCAAAGTGTCCCTCTGTGTCATGGCATTCCCCTAGTATCAACCTGCGAACTTCCTCACTATTGGGAACGCATAGGCGGTCAAATACATCCGTCTTCTCAAACAACAACCCTTCTGTAGTGTGGTAGTGTGGTTCGGTCTCTGGGGCCTCCTTAACTCTCTTGAGGAGGTCTCTATAGATAGGGTCCTGCGCATACGTTTGTTTCACTTTCTCATGCAGGTGTCTCCCTATATCCAAATAGTGTACTATGGCTCCAAAGTAGTCTGATCTCATACTCAGAGCATCCGCAACTACGTTGTCCTTTCTTTTCACTGGCTTAAGCTCAAAGTCATACTGGTCTATCTCAGCGGCCCACCTAGTTAACTTAGGTGTCATCTTGGCCTGGGTCTTTAACCAACGAAGTGTCTCATGATTAGAATACACTTTGAAGTGTCTCCCAAGCAGATAATGCTTCCAATGCTCTAAGGCCTGCCTGAGAGCGTAGAGTTCCCTCTCGTACGTCGAGGTAGCAACCTTCTCTGAGGGCATCCTCACTGACATGAACTCTACGAGTCTGTGGTCATTGCCGTCGTCTTGCTGCAACACGGCACCTATTCCATACTGACTCGCGTCCATGGTGACGACAAATGGCAAAGACGGATCTGCTACTTTGAGGACAGGGTACTCTATCAATGCGCGCTTTAGCTTCTTTAGCGCAGACGTACAGTCTTTGTCCCATTGCCAGATTGCCTCTTTCTTTAGCAACCTGCGCAAGGGAGCGGCGATAGTAGAGAAGTTACTCACGAACTTCCCATAGTAATTAGCCAGGCCTAAGAACGATCGCAACTCTGTCAATGTGCGGGGCGTCGGCCAATCTCTAATCGCCGCTATCTTACTGTCCTCTGGCTTAATTCCATCTCCGTCTAGTACGTGGCCCAAGTACAGGACTTGCGTCTTGGCCCACTCGCACTTCTTCGCGTTGATCTTGAAGTTAGCCTCTCTAAGCTTCTCCAAGACCTGCCTGAGATGACCTTGATGCTCTTGGAGGGTCTTGCTTAAAACTAATATATCATCTAGGTAAACTACTACAAACTTGTCTAACCAGGGTCTAAACAAATCATTCATACAACGCTGGAAGGTGGCTGGCGCATTGGTTAGTCCAAAGGGCATCACCATGAACTCATAGTGCCCATATCTAGTCTGGAACGCGGTCTTATACTGGTCATCAGGGTGGACTTCTATCTGATGGTATCCGGACTTCAAATCTATCTTAGAAAAATACTTGCAACCCTGCACCCGATCTAGAAGATCGTCTACCCTGGGCAGCGGCTCAACATTCTTCACGGTAATCGCATTTAAACCCCTATAGTCTATACGCATACGAAGCTCTCCTTCCTTCTTAGGGACAAATAGGACAGGTGCTCCAAAAGGAGACGAACTAGGTCTGATCAAACCTTTCTCGAGGAGCTCGTCTAACTGCTTGCGCAACTCTTCTAACTCTCTAGGGGACATCTTGTAGACTGCTCCCTTAGGAGTTCTACTGCCAGGCTCTATCTCTATCCTATGTTGGATGGGTCGCGACACTACTCCTGTCGGCGACTCAGTTAAGTCTTTGAACTCCTCCAGCAGCTTGGCTATCGTTGGATCTGTGGAAGTCACTTCTTCCTTAGCCTCGATGACAGGTCTAACATAAACTACAAAGACCTGTTCCTCTAATCGCTCCTTCTTCACTAATCGCGCGAACGTGGGAGCACTAAGACAGCAATGTGCCAAGGTGTTGTCTACACCTGACACATGAAACAGGCGGGCAGTCTTAACCTCGCCTGACGGACTAGGGAGCCTACACTCATGCTCTCTCAAGTGGAGTGTGGCCCCTGCTGCCTCTCCCCAATCCATTCCTAACACTATGTCGAAAGGAAGGCCATCTTGTACGAGGAGAGTCAGGGAATGGAGAACTTTCTCCACCTTCCCATCCTTCTCTAGGCGGAAATACGCCTGGACTCCCTCTGCGTAGTCCTCGACTCGCATCGTGAGGTTGTCTGCGAGGACACTGACTATGGGGTCTGCCAACTTTTGGACTTTCAATCCTAGCCTCAGCTTCTTCAGCGCCCTGCGGCTAATGTAGCTACGGGTAGCCCCTGAGTCTGTAAGGGGCCCTACTCTGCTTCTAAATACTTCTACATCTACCAAAATTAGTTGTCCTTTGCTCTCTTTCCTCATTTTGGCCCAGGTTGGCATTCTCTCCTTCAGCTCATCTGCCACGCCTGTGAGGGACGTGCCTAGAAAGACGCTAACACAAGCGGTCTCTGGACAGCTAGCTAGGCACGGGCCTGCAACCTCTGCCATAGGCTCATGTGGTTTGGGAGTTTCCTGTTCGCGCGCGCTCACTTCCCCACATGGCCTTGGAGTAGAGGCAGTTGCGACCCCTACTGGCGGCTGCCTTTTGACTGCTAAGCAGCCCAACGGGCCTGTCTATACTTAGGACAAAATTTCATAACGTGGGCCGGGTCACCACAAAACACGCACTGACCCAGGTCCACGCGTTCCTGCCATAAACGCTGGTCCAAGCCCAGATCCTCCCAAGGCCTGCCTTGTGGCAAGCCTGGGTGCCATCCTCCTTGAGGTGCCCTTCCACCTCGTCGTTGTGGGGACCGACAAGAACCCTGGCGATTTGGCGGGGGACCTTGACCCCTAGCTCCCACTTGGCGGTTCCCTTGTCCGCCAACCCCCTGTGCGCCCGGTCCTCGGCCTCCCATGGCCTAGCCCCTTTGGCCCTGGCCTCCTCCTCTACTTTGCGGCCTCCCTCCAGCCGCGACAGCAACATAGGACCTCCCCTGCCCCCCGCTATTGTCCTCCTCCTTGAGGCCCCACTCAATCTGACTGTATGGGACCTCGTCTGTACCACCTTCCTCTAAGGTAAGGATCATGTGATCCTTGGCCCTCACCTGGCCTGAGATGGTACGGCCTTTCCACCTTTTCCCTTATCCAGGTCCTTATGCCAGAAAGTGGTAACTGGCATGGACTTTGACTCATACAGGACCACTTCCCTACTCAACGCATCATAAGTGATGCCGACCTATTGAGACTTGTCAAAGAAATGCCCACGCAGGGCCTCTGGCATGGCACGATAAAATAACAGGACCAATTGGGTCTCAGTGACCCCATGGTCTGGGACGACTACCAAGTCGTCCATAACGCCCTTGAGTGCTCTCGCACTCCTCCACTGTCGCGAGTGGATCGTCTGTAACTTGTCAGAGGCTCTAACGCCTCTCGTTGGGGCAGCGAATCTCTCCCTCAGGACTTTGAAGAATTGAGGAAGGCTGGTGATCTTGGAATATGCAACCATGTTGTTTTCACAACCGGCTGCGCGCGCAAGGGACCTGGCAAAACTAGCCGCTTCATCTTTGAGGGCCTGGAAAGCTACGAGGACTTGCTCCTCTGTCAGGATATGTTGTAAGTACACATAATTGTTGACACTGGCCTCCCAGTTGTCAAAGTTCTCCTCCTTCTTTCCCCCGTATGCATCTGGGAACTTGATCTTTACGGGCTCTTTACGGGGTTTGGCCTCACTCTCTACAGCGGCTATCGCTTTGGCACCTTCAATGGCACCTTCGTAGAACTTTCCCACGTTGTCTCTCAACTTCCTGACTTCTCCCCCAACATGGGTAACCATATCGCGCGCAAAGTCCCTAAGTCCCGACCGCATGGCACTCAAGGCTACCTCTTGACCCCAACTAGCTTGGCGCTCCTCCATCCACGCTGCGCTCAGCACCTCCAGGTACCCCAACACCTTATCCCATTTGGCCTTGTCGTCTGCCTGGGCCTCCACTTCTTGCCTACAGTCCTTCACCTTTGCCACTTCTGCAGTCAGCCTAGTGACTTCCTCCCTCCTTCTCTTCTTCTCCCTCTTCATTCTCAATTTCCATTCCAACTTCTGCTCCTCTTCTCTTTCTCGTCGTTCCATGGGGTCCTCCATTGCCATTAGCTCTCTGGCTAACGCATCTCTCTCATCCTGAGGCACATACGACTCCGCCTCCTCGTCTTCCCCCAATGATAAATTAGCGACCCACTAACTTATCTTTTTCTCCATCTCTGCGTCTTCATCCTTTTTCGTGCCACTGCTCCCCTCTCTACTCTCAATACGCATCCTCTCTTTTGCTTCTTCTGCTGCTACTTCTTCTTCAGCAGCCTTTCTCCTCTCTTCCTCCTCCTGCTGAACTCTCTTCATCTCCTCCTCCAACTTCTTAATCTTTGCCGCCTGCTCCTCTGCGATTGCCTTTAGCTTCGCCTGCTTCTCGAGTTCCTTCCTCTCTTTGTTTTCTCTCACTAGGGCGGCCATCTTCTCTTGCTGCTCAGGGGTGTAGGGGCTAGTGCTCTTCCCACTACGGGTCTCAACCATGCTGTCAGTGCACAACCGGATTAACGGTTCCAAACCTCACCATGTAGACTCTAACCCCTGACTGACAAACCTACAGACTCAATCCAAGACTCACAGAATCCAGACAGGGATCCTGCCAACTAGGATCTCTAGCCTAGACCTATACTATGGTTGTCACTACTAGACCTATTGCTGATCAGGAGGCATTTAAGGAGATCCCCCGTAACTCCTCA